AAAAAAAAAAAAAAAAGAGCAAGTAAGTACCAGAGAAACAAGAGACAAGGAGAAATGGGACAAATATAACTCCAATAATAATGTCCATCAGTAACATTATATATACAGGCAAACAGGAGGATTAAAAATTTTGGCTTTGTCTGTCAGTGACTTGGAATGGAATCATTCTCTCCAAGCAATTTTTACATCTCTAGTATAGCCTGTGAAAATGTTCTCATCCTCAAAACCTGACATTTACTTTCCATGTTCTTATTTTTAATAGTCAACGAGCATTCTTACTTTCTTAGATGCCATATTCATCTATCTGGCACCCACTAATCACAGGACCAAAGTTGTTTACCTCTCCCCTGCAATCCCGAGTCCATACTCTGGACCATTTTATCTAACTCTTACATATAAAGTCAGTATTTCCTCTGCTCTTAATCAACCCAGGGTCACATACCAGATATAAGAGACAATTCCTATAACCTAAAACTCCCTGAAATTATTCAAATTTGCCAGTCCTATTTTGTTCAGCCTTTCCTGCCTTGTCTTACCCGCAGAAACCCCAGTAAAGGCTGAGCCCGATGCCTCCTCACTCCTTTCTGCCGCCTGACCAACTGCCCCTGGGTCGTGTGTGGTGTGCCACGCCTTTCAGTTCCAAGGAAACTGAGTAACAAACTTTTCTTCCAGTGGCACTCATCTCTACCTAGTATCACTTTATAAATTAAGATCTAGGCACACCCTGCGATTTTCCCAAATGTGGGAAACTCAACTGCATAATTTGTGGTAGTGGGGAACTGTATCTGTGCTCTCCCCTGGGGGAAAAAAAAAGACCCAGGTACAAATCAATAAATAAATTAAGCTTATTTAGAGTCATCAGAAAGTTTTTAAAGTGCTTCAATTTCTTACCTTTCTCAAAAGTACAAGTTTTACATTGTGTTTTTATAGGGCACCCCAATTCTGTTAGAGGACAAAACCTGTTATAGGACAAAATCTGTTATATGACAAGGGAGAGAGGGACACCCCTGAAACCCCAAAACCTGCCTGTTCTAAGTGGGTTAGAGCAGGCAACAAGACAAAACATATAAAACTTCAATGAGGCCCTCCCT